TGGCGTTGGGTTTGTGTGGGTGGTAGAAGCTGAGTGTGGTGGAGAAGCCTGAAATCCAAACCCTTGGGAGGCTAGAAAAGACCAGAAGTTCAAGGTCAGCCTTGAGCTACAGCAAACTTGAGAGAAGCCTGGGTTACACAGGACCCTGTCTCAAACAATCCTCCCTCTAAATTAACTACAGTAGTTGCTATATCTATGTCTATCTTATCAAAGACTCCTGTGGATGCCTGAAAGCACAGCTCTTCTGTCTATGTTTTTCATAGATGGTACACACACACACACACACACACACACACACACACACACACACACACACGCTCATGTGTGCACGCGTGCAAGCACTAGAGTTTAAAAGAAAGCACACTGAGAGCTTACCAATAACCAATAACAAAATAGAACATTAAAAGATTTAAAAGCATTTATTGATTTTTATTTTATGTTTGTGAATGCTTTGCCTGCATGTATGTGCACCATGTACATGTCTGGTGCCCATGGAGGTCACAAGAGGACATTGGATCCCCTGGAACTGGAGTTGGATAGTTGTGAGTACCATGTGTGTGTGTTCTGGGAACTGAATCCTCCCTCACCTGGAACTGGGGTCATGAATGTTTGTGAGCAGCCATGTGTGTGCCGGGAAGTGAACCTGGGTCCTCTGCAAAGACACCAAGTATTCTTCACACCAAACCCTTTCTCCAGGCCCAAATGAGGACAATTTTAATCACCTTTAATCATCATAAGATGTGAGCGTGCTCTCCCTGGTTCTCAACTGTGGCTCCACATGCCATGTTGGTGTTTTTCCTTGTGAGGGTGTGAGATGGAACCACCGTAGAGACGACAAGATGAATGAGAGACATTGGGGCTACTGACCTTCTGAGGATCCCTCAGAAGAAGAATGATGGAGAAGTATGCTGGGGTCTCCCAACTTTGAAGTGTACACAGAATAGGAACTCTGATTTACAGAGTGTCTTACATTCATAGCAGCCAAGGCAGCCATCTTGCAACTTGTCAACAAAGAAAGAAAAATGTAAACAAAATCCAAGCCCTCCGGCATGGTGGGGAGTCCTGTCTGGGGAGGAGAATCAGGAAAACAGACTCCCTGTGCCTCACACCTTCTTGTCTCCTACTCAGCAGACTCAAAATCTTTTCTCTCCTTTGCACAAAGCAGTTGCTGTTCGAAGGCAGGAAACCACAGTTGGATGGTGTGGTTTTCCCACCACAGAGAAAGAAGCTGGCAAACGGGGCGTGCAGTGATGATTTTCTTTGGATTAATTATGTTTAGAAGCATTCCAAATGCAGCAAACCTTTATCTATAAGATGACAAGACACAACAAAACAAACACATCCCTAAAGGGGGAATGAAAGGCACTGTGCTTGCTCTTCCCTCCATATTTCATCCCTTCAGAACTTTTCATGCATTGTCTCTCAAATGATCCACACCTGTACTAGCTGCATGAGGTCATGCCTGCTCCCCAGCCCCTACTCCTGCTCCCCAGCCTCACCCCCTGTTCCCCGGTCCCCAGCCCCTACTCCTGTCCTCACCTGGCCTCTAGCCTGGTTTCTCTACTGAGGGAGCGTACTCAGCACTCTCTGTCCTCAGGGCTCCACACTTCTCATTCTTTTCTTTTCATGGATCTTGGAGACTACATTCCCATCCATCAGACTCTCTAAATACCCATGCCTCTGTGACCACCTACTCAAAATGGTGCCACTTCTCTCTCCAACCTGAGTCTCTATTCCAGTGACTCGCTGTACTTTTTCCTACATCGGATTTCTAGTATCTGAAATTGCCTCATTTGGTTTGACTTCATGTGCTCTCCCTAGATTTTTTTCCTCTGTCTTGCTCTCAGCCACCTCTGAAGCACGTAGAGGGATGGCTTGCCCTGCAGGAGATACTGAGCAGTGTTTGTCAGAAGAATGGAAAGATTACACAGGCTACAACCTTTTCAGGTGGAGTGCAAGGGTCAGTTACATCCTTCTAAAGATCCCCAGGAGTGTATCTATAGTTGAGCAGGTTGGGTCTATGACTGCTCTTTGTCTCTCTCTCTCTCTCTCTCTCTCTCTCTCTCTCTCTCTCTCTCTCTCTCTCTCTCTC